AATAAAAAAACGTTTGGAAAATCCAAAAGTGCACGACTCATAGTGCTCATACGATCGTGAAAAAATGTAGATAAACCTCTCAATCAACAATAGATTTTTTAAATTTTACTTTGTTATTATTATTGATATTTTTTTATTATTGTTAATTGAAAAAAACACTTTAAACAGAATTATCTTATACGATCTGATATCAACTTTAATATTACTTTAATTTTTAGGTATTTGTACTCAGGCATTACCGTTAAAACTAATAATTTTTTATCAAATGACAATTTAGTAAAAAGGAATTTGAGATGAATAGATAATTATAAATATTTATTTACGTAATGTTAAATATATCTTATTCACATTAATTATAAAGACAGAATTTAGGACGAAAATGATTCATTCACAAAGAAATTAGATTGCGAATAACAAATTTTACCACTACTCAAGGAATTTCTGCTCGGTGTAACTTTGTCGAGCCGACCAAAATGGTCATGTGATTCAACTTGACGTAATTTATTATGCAGTTCTGTATGCAAAGATTTATTTCAGATCGATATATTTATTGCGACCTTATGTGCCATAATGTAAACTATATTACTTTAATATTGAAAAGCAAATAGTTTTATATTTGCCTAATGAATGCGACTCGTAATACGGGGTTGATCCTCGGCAATATTACAGAAAATAAAATTTTTAGTGCTGATTTATAACGTACTCAGCGTTGAAAAAAATCATGAGAAAATCGTTATACTTCCACACATCCTATTACAGCCTATAAAAAGTTGTTGTTGTGTCTGATGCTGAACACAGGCCTCTTTCATAGATGGCTTATAAGAGATTTTGGCATAGTTTACGGGGGGGGGGGGTTCGCAAGTACAGTATTTTATTATTTTAATTTTTTTCAGAGCATATTTCGAATACATGTAAAGCACGCACAAGTGTCACAACACGTGTCAAAACTTAATTGCCCTAAAACCCTCTCAGAAATGAGGGGGAGGCCTGTGCCCAGCAGTGGGACGTATATAGGCTGTAACTTTTACTTGTTTTCAGAAAGATGCTACTGTGCAGTTCCTATTTCTTTTCTCTCAGTCTCCCTTACTACACCCAAAAGTTTATATGGTTATAATTTTATGGTATAAGTTTATAAGACTTAGAAATTGAAAATATTTCGAACACAAGAAAGGTACTGTAATAGCATTGGTATTTATATTAATACGTAAAAACAGAAATATAAAAAGAGCAATAAAACAAAAAAACTCTTGGGAGTTTTTATGGAGATGAATAGTATATTAAACCGCTTCTATACGGCATGACTTAGAAATTAAAAATATTTTGAAACCAAGTAAAGTCCACTAATTTCATTTGTATTTATACATATAATTCGAAAATAAGAAATATAAAAAAGCAAAAAAAAAGTATATCATTGAAAAGTTACTGTGCCACAGACGTGCACAAAAAACTTATAAATTAAGTACACGCATCATGTTTCCAAAAATAAGTTTTATAAATTATGAAAGAATTTTGATCACGATCATGGCACGAAAATTTCTTTACCTTCCCTGCACGAGAAAGTATTACTAACATAAGTAATGTAAACAAACACCTAAGCACTACACACGTACTTCTGCATATAATGTCGATAACAGGTAATAATAGGCGATAATATTTTTTTTATTGCGGAATAATAAAATTAGGTACGAAATTACTGTTGTTATTACCTATGGAGCAAAAAAGAGGGTATGCAGTTCGGCGATATGTCTGGAATAAACGGCTGATAAGTCCGTGGCCTAAGGTACTTAATGAACAAAACATATGCTTTCTATTTTTTATTTTTCCATATAATCTCCCTTAATTCCCACAGCTCGCATAAAATGCCTTTTACCAACCCAAAAATACTCTGTATCTGTTTCTTTAAAATAACGATCAACCGCAGCTTTAATTTCGTTGTTATCTGGAAATCTCTCGCCCCGTAAGTCCTTTTTTCAAATTGGAAAACAGGAAAAATCGCTAGGTGCTATGTCTGGGCTATACGGAGGGTGGTAAATCACTGAGATCACACGAGATTTCGTGTCTTTCAAGTTTTTAAGGCGTTGTCTTTCAGATAGAGCACTCCGCGCGTCAGTTTCCCGCGTCGTTTCTGTACAATAGCTTCGCGAACCTGATTCAATAAATTGGCGTAATATTGGTCATTAATTGTAGTTCCACTGGGTAGGTATTCGATAAGCAAAATTCCCTCGCTATCCTAGAAAACAGTTGCCATTAGCTTGAACGCCGACGCCTTTCTCCTTTTTTATCCCTCGCATGAACTATTGTTTGGACTTCGGATTATATTAGCGAATCCATGTTACATTTACCGTGACTATCCGTTACCAAATGTCTTCCTTGTTATCGTCGACTAGCTCCAAAAAATCTTTGCAACTTGCGAGTCAACGTTGCTTTTTGAGCGGTGTGAGAATTGTCGGTACCCAGCGTGCGCTAATTTTTCTCATATTTTCATGTAAAATTTATCCAACTCATTTTTCACTAATCTGTAATTCTTCAGCAATCTACTACTATTTAATTATTCTGTCGGCCAAAACGATTCTTTAGACTTTTTCGACGTTTTCTACGGTCAGTACCGATAAAGAGTGGTCCGGGCGAGGGTCGTCTTCACAGCTCTCTCGTACTTGTTGAAATTTGCGGCCCATTTTTTCACCATCGTATATAAAGGAGCGAAGTTCTGAAGAAAAGGTGACCTCTCTTTAAAAATGTCTTTCAGTGTATTTGCATTTTTTCAACGAATTTTATCACGGCGTGGAGTTCAAAATTCCGAGAATTTCCAGATTCGGCTGACATGGTGATGTTCGTTGTTTGATAAATAATTGAACTGAGTGATGAGTGAATGAGTTTAAGCTTAATTAGTGATTGCTTTTATAATACTACTGAGTATTGCAACTAGTGACAGCTAATTAGTCATCGTTAATTACCGTAGACCGCGAACAACCACCGTGGTAATACGAGAAAGCTATTTAATGCTTTTATCTTTAACAAATTTAGTCTAAATCAAATTCATAACTTTATTTGTTGAAAATATTACGTGTAAAATTCTATAGAAGATTTACTCAGTATGCAATTTGGACAATGAACCTAAATAAAGTTCATGAATAATTTGATAATAAATAAGAAAGAAATGTCCTTATCTAAAATTAAAATCGGTCCTGTAATATTTATATACCTATAATGGATATATTATTATTTTTCTATTGTTAAGAAATTTATGAGAGAACGTTACTGATTTCTAAAAAGGTTATGGAGCTATCAGTCCGCTTCGCTATTGGAATATGTGATGGGAAACTCCACAATTCCTCGATTAAAACCTTCAGAGCTGAGCAAGTAGTAAATGAGTATTTAATATTGCAAATAACATTTATAAGTGCCGGAAGGGATCAAACCCGGTTCGCTCGCATACAGCAAACGATTAGCCTTTAAGCTAATGCGTTAGTTGCATAATATATAAATGAATGGGGCACATATAACAACACATTGATGCTGACACATGGTATAAATGTTAAGAATTATCCTAAACAGGGTCTCATATAAAATTTATATAGTTTAGAATACAAAAAAAGCTATACCTAGTTAAGGAGGTGGCGTACATATGTGGTTGTCTGTTAACCGAAATCATTACTGTAGTTGTTTTCGCGAACGGATTAATCCTGGTTAACCACCCGGGTTACTTGAGAAAACTGGAGCACTATGACGGTCCGCCCCAACTCAAATGCAGAATGAGGTGCTTCTTGATACTACCTGCAGCATCTGCCGGTTCTTTCCCTATCTCCCTAATCTCTGGCCGTTCGAAAATCGTACACGAGTTACTGGTATATTCGATTGTATTTTATGTATGGTATTATATTTAACATAACAATAATTATTTCTTATTTTTTATTAAATTTAATACACATATATAAATATTTATCGGAGACAGCAGGTATAATTAAAAGTGGACAAATAAAAGTTACAGCAATATAAAGTGCAAGGCAGAAAACTCCAAACCAGTGTCGTGATTTCGTAAGTTGTGGTCATGTGGTGGACACATCGAAATAAGCAGCGTTGCTTTGGGTTGCTTACTTGATCTATTTACGTATTATCATATAATTAAGTCGTTTACTCTGGTATATTTGCGAATGTCTTCTAAACGGATTTTTTTTACATAATAATTGACGAAACCAATTAAATTTAAATTAAGAATCATTTTATTTATATTTTGAATCAATATTTTTACACTATCATATCACAAGCATTGTACTTGTGTATTTCTATGGTGAGGGAGACTCTTTTAGTATAAATTGACTATCATTTTATATGCTTGTAGTTTAGTTGTTCAACGTAGTGCTAACTTTAATATATCTAAAATAAAATTAGCTTATGAATCATACTTGAAATAATTACGGAGTGTAAATTACTCTAAACAGTAATTTCCACAGAGTACGTGCACATAAGGAAACATTAAAATGATATGTTATCTAAATTTAGCCTCCTCTGTACTCGAACTTTAAATGAAACATTTATCTACATTTGAGGTAGCAACTTAATTAAATTTAACAGAACATCAACATCGTACTTGAAATAGTAAGAAATAGCCAAGTATATTATTACATTATGATGTCACAATTGAGGACCTTGCAGCTTAAGGAAGGCAAGTCCAAATTTCAAAACTGTTGGGTATTTAAAAAAAAGGTTTTTAAAAATTGATTGATGTACTTATGTCTTATCGTTATATGGTATTATATAATATGAACATATATACACATTTTATTCAAGATTTAAGGCAATTGAAGAAGTAATAGAATTACTACGATTTTTTAAAGTTTGGATCTGCCTCCGTTTTGCACCAATATTGAAGAAAAATACAACTCTTTAGGATAATAAAACAAGTAAACACGGTTATTTTTTTATTTCAAGAATTAGTAATCAGTCCACAAAGAATTAAACAGTCAAAATACAAAAAAGAACGAGTGCTTAACAAAAAAAAATTAAAGGTTAACTTCAGCTTGATCATCGTCGTCTTCGCTAGAAATATCATCTGTTGGTCCGACAGCTTCACTTTTAAGGGCCCTGTAGAAATATAGTTTATTTGGTGGAACATAGTTCTTTACCAACTGCATAACATCGTTGTATTTAGCCTTTTTCAACGGCAATGCATGATCATACAGCGGTTTCTGAGGCAGAACTGATAGTTGGGCTTGAGCATTTCTCGTTATAGGAAAATAATCAAATACTCGCGTTCCCGTTGTAACACTGACTGCAATAGTTTCAATGTGGTCTTTACTATATTAAAAAATACGATATTGAGATATTTTGAATCGAATATTCTCTGTATTTGTTATTACTTTTTTGAAATGACTCTCATAATGTTGGCTGAAGTTAAGTATCATATTTTGACTTGCATTTACAACTTTAAAATTTTTAGATGCTTGCGTAATACAATCGGCATATTCAGAAGTCGTAAATATGTAATCTTTCCTTCTATTAAACTTTTCTATTACGCCGAAACACCGATCACACGGTAAGAAGCTGTGTCCTGGTTCTGGAAATCGATGAACAATCTTCTCAAAAGATGAACACCGCATAAGCGTATATAGATACTGAACTAAAGTCGAGTTCTTATTTTGTGCTGCTGCGTTATCAGAAAATAAATACAGTACTTTAACTGTGCTTGGTAAAATGTCATTTATGTAGTAATTTATAAAAGATATGACTTCGTTTGGTGATTTTCGGCCTATGGTTTCGTCATATAAATAAAAGTGAGCAATCCCTGTTTTTGCTGAATGAATACAAAAATTATATGCCCAAAGTTGACGTTTATAAAATGCTTCACCTGCTGGAATTTTAGGTAATGGCATATTCTGCTGATAATCATATGTTAATACTTCGCATTCTTCATTATTAAGAGCAAGTTGACTCTTCTCTTTTAAATCAACAAAAAAAGTGTCGGCCTTGGCTTGATGAAGACTCTTCTCTATCTGTATTTGTTGGGTTTCATCGCTATCCAATGTCTTATCTTTTAGTTTGTTACTCAGCTTGTCGCACTTCTTGCAAGTATCTGAACGAGGTGACCCAAAACTGTATTTAAAATTTTGGTTAAAATATCTGTAGTAAAAATCAAATGATACTATAGGCTTAGCAGATGCTTCAAGACCAAGCTCATGCTTTTTCAAATATAACTCGTACATCCTTTTAATGTTCAAATCTGGAGACAGATAATAACGTGAGCTTTTATTTCTACTGTAGTGTGACTCGCGACGTGGGAAACTTCTAATATGAGAGTCAACTTTAGGAACCCATTCACTTGGAATACGATTTGGTCTATTTTGATGTTTCCACGATTAGACTGAGCTGGTGTAGTTACAGTAGGTATACCCCGATACTCTTTAGCAACATTGTCTACACGCTTTTTGGATATTCCATGGATAGATGCAAAGCCATTTCTGCAAATTTGTATATTTCGTATGGGAAATACCTTCTTCCCCGTACCAGTTTTAGATCTTTCCCTTTCAACATTCTCAGTTTTAATTAAACCGCCTCAGTGTACGTTTTGCACATAGGTTTCTTCCAATTTATTAAAAATTTTCAATATTAGTTTCCTATCTTCTTCATTAATTGGAACAAAACACTTATACTTCTTACAACAACAATCCGGTCCAGTTCTTAGTTCAGTTATTTCACGGCCTTTATAGTTTAAATAGCCCTTTTCAGTAGCAATAGACTTCTTTATTACATTCCGTTTCCATTGTGATGGATTCGCGGATTTTATTTTTTTCGGCGTTATGCCACTCTTCGATGGGCATGGATTATCTCTATGTATTCATCCAAAATATTCATACCTTTATCGTTCGCCTCATTAGTTTGGTTTTGAAATGTCAACAAACCAACATCGCTTCCATCATCATCTGAACTGGTTGAACATGACTCGTAGACAGGCGGCTGGTAAATATCTGACGAGCCGCTACTAAACGGTTCAGTGTCACTCATTTTAATACACACTTAACGTATCAAACTTAAAACAATTATTTAAAAGAATAATACGCACGTCGTTTCAGGCCGAGCACAAAACGTGCACTGACTTGTTTACAAATGATGTAATAATTTCATTTGTTGCAAGAAGGAGGCAGGTCCGAACCTGCTCCCTTCTTGCACCAAACAGAATAAGGTAGCATATCCAAATTTTGTTACAGCGCGCTTGTTTGTCGTCGGATTTGCCTCCTAAATGTACCAAACCATAGCTAATTTTTTGTTTAAAATGTAGGTGAAAAAAAAGTAACGGTTAAAATTTGAATTTGCCCCTCTTTTGCTGCAAGGTCCTCAATTGATTATGCATGTCACATCACACGTCGGGTCTATTTAATTTCAATACATAAAATTAATTCTTATATTTACGCAAATACTACACATTGAATAAAACTAATTTTACATATTGATCGCGTTTGATTTTAACACTTTTAATTCCAAGTGTTTTAATTTTTTGTCTATATATGTAAACTGATCTATGCAGAACGAACTGCAATATCTTAACGCTTATGCTTGAGTTTGAATTTATTTCACTCCAGCAACCAGCCGCCTCCACTTTTTAAATTAGGATGATTTCGAATCATCATTTGTAGAAATCCGTGTTCTTTAGTGACGAATTATCATCTACCATCATCATCATCATCATCATTACAGCCCCACAAGTCCACTGCTGAACATAGGCCTCTCCCAAGGTATGCCACAAAGAACGGTCCTGAGCCACCTGCACCCATCGACTTCCGGCATGTATTACCAGGTCGTTACTCCGTCTAGTGGGGGGTCGCCCTACACTTCGTCTACAGGTACGAGGCTGCCACTCGAGAACGCTTCTCCCCAACAGTTGTTGGTTCTTCGAGCTATATATGGCCGGCCCATTGTCACTTCAGCTTACTAATCCATTGGGCTATGTCAGTCACTCTGGTTCTAATGTCGATATCCTCATTTCTAAATTTATCACGCAGAAAAACTCCGAGCATAGCTCGCTGAGCGACTTTGAGCGTCCTCATATGGCCAGCAGTGAAGGACCACGTCTAGGTTCCGTAAGTCATCACTGGTAACACGCACTGGATGAACAACTTAGTTTTCAAGTTTTGAGGTATCCCTGACGAGAAGATGTGTCGTAATTTCCCGAACGCTGCTCAGCCGAGTTGAATCCGTCGATTGACCTCTCGGTCGAAGTTGAACTTACCTAGTAAGACTATTTGGGTAACTCGTCACACTTTGAGTAGTGTCCCCATATAGGTGTGACATGGACATTAAACATGTTTCTTGTTTTGTCCATGTTCATCTTAAGACCTATCCGTTGGGAGGCACTATTGAGGTCATTGAGCATAGTGTTTAAGTCCTCCAGCGATTCTGCCATAAGGAATATATCGTCGGAAAATCGAAGGTGAGTGATATACTCGCTATTGATATTAATACCGTATCCTTTCCAGTCCAGTAGCTTGAAAATTCTTCCGGTGAAGAGTTCGGGGAAATACGTCACCCTGTCTTACACCTCTCTGCAGTTGGATAGGTTTCGTACTCTGGTTCTGTACTCGGATAGCCATCGTAGCCCTACTGTAAAAACACATCAGCACTTCGAAATACCGAAAGTCAACTTGGCACCGCTGAAGAGACTGTAGCACCGCCCAAATTTCGACGGAATCAAAGGCTTTCTCATAGTCCACATACGCCAGGCAAAGTGGCAGATTGTACTCTTCGGACTTCTGTACAATTTGCCGAAGGGTATGTATGTGGTCTATGGTATTAAAGCCTTTTCGGAAACCGGCTTGTTTGGGAGGCTGGAAGTTGTCGAGTCTACGTGCGAGACGATTCGTAATGACTCTCGAAAACAACACGTACACGCGGGCTCAGAAGGGATATCGGTCTGCAGTTCTTCAAGAGGGCGTAGTCACCTTTCTTGAAGAACAAGACCATCGCACTTTAGCTCCACGCCTCCGGAGTAGTGCCAGCATGGAGAACGGAATTGAAAACCTTCTGAAGGACTTCAAGTACCGGTATTTCACCCGCTTTCAGAAGCTCCGCTCTAATTCCATCCTCGCCTGGTGCCTTGACTTTTTAAGGTGCTGGAGAGCCATTCTAATCTCGCTCAGACTGACGTCCGGGATATCATCGGAATAGTCTCGGATAAGACTTGCTCTTAGATCGTTAATCACACTTGCGTGTGGCTCCAACGATGATGTGTACAGCTGCCTATAGAACCTATCAATCTCACTCAGAATCTCAGGTGTCCCGGAAACGATGCTGCCACACTCAGTATTCAGCTTTGACAATTGGCTCTTACTGACAGACAGATTTCTGGCAAAGAATTTGGAGCCCTGGTTCCGTTCGATCGCTTCTTTAATACGAGCAGTATTGAAGTTACGCAAGTCTCGCCGCATGCATTTGGAGATCTGTCTGTTCAGTTGCCCATATGCTTTCAAATCTGTTGACGATTGCAGCCTCATCTCCCGTCTAACAGCCATGAGATTAAGAGTGTTATCGGAGAGTTTTTGTGTTTTTCTGCGGTGTGTCTTGCAGAACTTAGCTCCGACCGCATGTACAGTTTCCACGAGCTTGTCATTCATATCGTCCACTGCATTGCAATCTTCTAGGCACTGAAAGCGGTTACGTAACTCGAGCTGAAAAGTTTCGGGATTCTGGATCAGAGCACGAGGGGGACGGAGCGTTGACTTCATCAGACGAGACCTCTCCAAATTAACGTTTAGTTTCAGTGTCATCTCTCTTTCGGTCACTGAGACGTCACTGAACAGTTGGCGTCTGGTCATCATAATGAAGTCAATCTAATTTTTTATTTCGAGCCGTCGGCTCTCGACTAGGTTCACTTCCTTTGGGGCCGCTTCTTGAAGAAAGTGTTCATCATAAAGAGTCCCTCTTTCTTCATAAATTTGGCCAGCAGCTGGCCCCTACGGTTCCGTTGTCCTACTCTAAATTTCCATAACTTCAGCTCACCGCTTTCTCAAGTGCCTAGTTTTGCTTTGAAGTCTCCCATCAACACCGTGTAGTGGGTTTTAGAGGAATGCATGGCTCTGGAAATATCCTCATACATTTCCTCCACCTCCTCATCGGGATGTGCCGAAGTTGGTGCGTAAACCTGTATGAGCTTCAGCGAATACCATTTAGTGATTCTGAGTATCAGGTACGCGACCCTTGTCGACACTCTCTCAATCTTTACATCGTTGTTGACGAGAGACTTGTGGACGATAAATCTGACACCTCCTTGTGACAGATGGTCGCCTTCCCGGTGATAGAACAAGTTACCGGACTCGAGGATTACCGTATCCTCCCCCTCTCTTCGGACCTCGGATAATCCATTAATATGCCAGCGCAACTTGTATACCTCTTCTTCCAGCTCCAGTATCTTCTCATCAGTCCTCAGTGTGCGTGCATTATATGTTGCCAGGTTGATTCGTCGTAGGTGTCAACTGAACCTCCACCGCACACCCTGCCCGGCCGTTACTATGGTCGCCACCGTAGCCAGCAATAGCGGAGCCGCCGGACTGGGGGCCATTTGTTTGCGTCGATATTCATGGGGGGATATTTTCCATAGTTTCCACGCTTGGCGAGCGAGTTGGCCGCAGTTTTTTATTATATTATTGTTGTTATTAGGAACATACTGCTGCCCATCTCCTGCCTGTCTCCCTCTGTCACCTCTTACGACCCACACGGGAAGATATGGGGTAGTGAATATTCTCAACCGCCACTACACGGCACATGATCTACCAAGTCACATGTAATGGTTGGGACTATTCTGGAATCTTTGACATACCTATTGCAAGTTTTTTGGACCGTAAATGATTCAAGTCAGCCATATTTTATTTTTATATTTGTTCAATGTCCACTATTTGACATTTGATTTCGACAGCTAGATTTCCATATAAGCGCCTGGTGTCACGAAATACTTGAAAAAAAAATTGCGTTGTTGTGCCTCTTCATTAACATTCTGTTAAGTTTGAACTCGGTGTTTTGACATTCATTCATCAGCTTTTGGCAAAACCTATTCAACTATTTAGCAGCATGTGGATAGGAAAGATTGATATTTGAGAAAAAAAATATCACTTTATAGCCGACTTCTTAAACGTAGGAAGCTTATAGTAAGACTGTATGTTTTTTATGTACGTTACATGATATCGTCATCAATTTCAAGCCAGGATTCTTTTAAAGAAATTTGATATACTTTAGGATTGGCTATAAATTTGCAAAAAATAAAACATTTTATTGTAGGTCGTCACAGCCTCTTTGACCATTTAGCAGGATTTGGTTGGTAAAAACTGATATTTTAAAAGAAATATCTTTTTTTTATCTGATTTCTAAAAAGTTGGAGGCTTACAGAAGACTGTATGTTTTATATGTGTGTTACGCGATATTATCATAAATTGTAAACCAGGATTCTTTTAAAGAAATTTAATATACCTCAGGAGTAGCATAAAAGTTTGCAGAAAAAAATAAACCTCTAAGATAGGCGAAATACAAAAAGGAAGTTTTGATGTAACCGTATATACGAATTCCGAGTGTGATACAACTTTTATGTAATATATTATATACTAGCGATCCACTCGTGCTTTGCAAGGGTGATTTCTGGACATCGACCTATACCTTCAGCGAGACTGACGGACATATATATATATATGTTCTCCCTATATCTTATATTTTGTTTGAAATAAAAAGTGTGCTTTTATACAAATCTCACTTAGCGGTTCGCTCTGGCCGAGTCTATTTGTCCTGATGATGACTCGTTTAGAATAGAAATCCGTGTCGTATTATCGATGGTGGTGTGTTTTGCCTTAAGTATAGTGGTGGATTAGTGTTGTTTTCAATTAGTGATAATGGGTATAGCGCGGTAAGTAAGGAGGGGGGCCCCTCCTCCTTACTAGTGGCGGTACTGGTGGGCGGTAGGTGCTCTTTAACTAGGTTAGCTAGGTTAGCTACTAACTGGGTAACCAGGAAACATGAACTTTCTGACT